TCATAGTATCACTTGTTTGTCAACATTAGTGCTCTTATTAGTGACTACACCAGATTGTCTTAGTGACTATCGTATTGGACATGACGGAATGCCAGAACACCGGCACAATGCATTAGCTACTAATACCGCTTTTGCTTGATCTTACTTACTACAAAACAAGGAATACAAAATGTATGAAAAGATAAAGCGTCAGTGCCACTACAGTTCAGCGGCTGGACGTCATATTTACCAGAAAAACTAGTAAAATACGTTCGGTATTCAGAGGCGCTGACATTAAAACAGATGCAGAAGTAGAAGAATAAATGGAAACAGGGACACAACTTCCACGAAAATAATGCATATGTAAGTATTATCAGGTTAGCAGCAAATCTAAACCAAGAAAAATAGATAAAGTTAGACAAAACCAGAATCATTGCAAGGACTTGCAACCGAGAAAAAGTAGGTATACGTTCTTATTACTAAGCGAGCTAGCAAAAACGATAGCAGCAACGCCATACTTGACTAGACTCTATAAAACCTGAGCAGGTGAGGCTTTCTCGGGGACCATTTGCTGTTACTTTCTCTCTGTAGCTGCACAAATCTAAGTGATTTCCATCATCACATCCTGAGAATGCGGCGGGGTCACGTGACCCAGAAGGAGGTGTGCTGTTGCACTCGACGTGAAAGCTGTAGAAGCTGTGGGGAAATGACACGCGAAGCCTTCAGCGATGCTCACGTTCACAGGCGAGTAAGCAAAGATGTTCAAATCGTGAATCCTCCTTGGCGTCCTGTGGCGGGAAGGGAAACCTTCATTTGTGCTCCTGTGGCGCTCTCTCCTTCTTCTCATCCTGACATCATTTGCTATTGTATACAGGCTATCTTAATATTTGTACACTCCCCTTTTCCTTGCTTTGCCCTCCCCCTCCTTCTTTCCGCCCACCTCACATTCACATTCCTTCATGCTTCCTCGCTATAATGTGTAAATCTTCACTATGGTATACATACGTTCCCGTCCTCCTTTCCTTCCTAACCCCCCCCCCCCCCATGCTCTCCCCGGCCCTCACCTACCTTTCCATATCATTGACATACTAGACTACACAGGGCTATGCAATGCTGTACACTCCCGTTCGTTCTCGCCTTCTTGCAACACTTATTGCACACCTTCTTACTCTCCATTCTTTTTCCCTCTTCTCGCTATATTATAATATACATGGCTATGCTAGTTATGGTATTCTTTACCAATTGCGCCCATCGTTTTCACTCAGCCTCATCCTCAAATTTCCCCTCCTCACTTTCACGTTCCTTTCCCACGTCATTGTTGTGCCCTTGTTAGACGTGGGTGTGCTATACATGATTTTTCCTACGTGACGTCATACATGGCTATTCTTCGCTACACTCTCTCCCTCGGTTCTTTCAAATCTCCTCCGCTCACTTTGCTTTCTGGCAACACAATTTTGTTATGTTATACACAGTTAAGCCTGCATTATACATGGCTCTCCCTCCGTGACGCCAAGCCACGACATTATCTCGAAACAGCCAAGGCCCCTTAAGTGCGAAGCACTTCAAAGGTTGTTTGATTCGAAAGGTTATTTGATTCGGAGTGATTGTTTGAGTCACCGTAGTTAAAAAAACAATCACTCACTTGTGATAAAGAGAAGCCTTGCGTCGAATATAGTAAAAACTCCATGGTCGTTAAAGAAGTATGATGCCACAAGCTTTGCCCGATAAGATAGCTGACCTAGGCAGCTTAATTAAGAAAAAAAAGCAATTTTATTAAGTTGACAGAAAAGGTGTGGCGCGCCAATAGTTCACCAAGAAATCTGTGCAAAAAAGGATCAGTATCGCAGTGTTAGAAACTAGAAGAAAATGGTGTATTACTGCCTTCTAAAAGAAAAGAATACATAAAGTCAGAACACCAGATAGAGAATTAGAAGACGCCTTTCAGTACAGCAACACATAACCGTACACGCTAGAGCAAACAGAGCCGGCACATATTACTTGTGATAATCATTGGAGGCGATCCGGATTACCACATGGTATAGCAAGCCAACAATATATTGGTCACGACAGGTAGAAGAGATCCTACGCTAATCCCATATCGTCTTGTTGTCTACTTACAACCACGTTGATCCGCTGCTCAATCGACGGAGCATAAGTGTTGTTCGCCGCAAATGCTCGGAACGTTTCATAAGTGATGACCGGCATTACCAAATTTTGGTGAGGTTACCTCTGTGGTAACGTGCTTGTAAAGCTACTTTGACACGGAGATCTATATAGCTATTTTGCAGTTATACGTTGCACCTGTGGCGCGTACTCAATTAAAAGAGCTTTTAGGGGCGAAGCTGCTTTGTCTGTGGGTCGTTCCCTTCTCTGTAGTAGTAGTAGGAATAGTGGTAGTAGTAGTAGTAGTAGTAGTAGTAGTAGTAGTAGTAGTAGTAGTAAGTAGCCACCTCGTGTTTATGAATAGCTCAATAGATGGCACTGTGTGTATTTGTGCTTGGAAATATTATCACTAGAAAGCGTTAGTGGTTTTCGTATAGTTGACGATTTCGTATAGTTGGCGGAGGGATGGAAGCACGAACCGACAGACGTATAGATTGAAGCTTCGCCCTTTAGGTATCTGCTATCGCTATGGAAGCCTAACACCTCTTTTGTTTATGGCTGACAGGTTGTTGTTACATACAAATGAAATATGGTCGATGGCTATACTCTGCATGATTTTTGTAAGCAGTTTTGTCTGCATCAACCATTTCTCCGGCAACCATGCCTTCTCAGATACCGCATACGGGCAAGTGTTGAATTATCGTAAAGGTTCCAACTTCATGAAATGAAAAGAGGAAGTGCTTAAGTGGTATCTATCTATCTATCTATCTATCTATCTATCTATCTATCTATCTATCTATCTATCTATCTATCTACCCATTTATGTATCTATCTATCTATCTATCTATCTATATATCTATCTATCTATCTATCTATCTATCTATCTATCTATCTATCTATCTATCTATCTAGTCGCCTACGACTTTTAGCTTTCCTGGATGTTTCGGTAATGGTATCAATACCAAACTTGTTATACCATAACATGACTGTTTGACAAGCGTAAGTGACTGGAGAAAACCTGAAAATCTTGACATATATGTCATGAATGTCATGATTACCAGTTTTTGGTCTTGCTGCTCTTGCGGTGATTTCATTCAGATGACATTGCAAAACTGGTACGGTATGACATGACTGCATGGCGAACACAAGCGAGAGACCCTAATCTGAACAACGAGAAATACGTGTCATGTAACAACATGACTACATGCCGAGCTCATGATGCGTCCACGGCCGTTTTGCTAGCTTCACATATACCAAATTTGACAGTGCAAGACGAGAATGAATGACGAAAGTATGTGACTGGTGCAAATATGATAATCATGAGATGCGTTTCTTGTAAAACCATCACTACATTCCACGCTCATGATGCGCTCGTTACCGTTTCGCTAGCTCCAGATATACAAAGTTTGGTATCAGGTGACGTGAATAGATGAAAAAGGTAGATGAAACGTCGAAACGTGATAAAAATGACATGGAAGTCATGTATGGCATAATTTACTTCCGCCTCGTAACGTTGTGCTGATATTAAAGTGACATATCAACCTTCCTCATTTGTGCTTCGCATATCATCGATTCCCACTGTACGTGGAATCTGCCCATTTTTTATTAGTTGATAAATTTAAGGCACCAACGTAAGAATATTTCTGCTGATCATTTTATAAGTTTTACAGATCTTGCAGCATCAACCACGGGAATAGTGAGTTGGAGAAAGGGGAGTGACGCCTAGAGATAATAGTATAAAATAAGATAGAATAATCAGTCAAGAATCGTGGGTCTACATTCTTTGTCGCAGTAGTTGATTTCAGTGAAACGAATTTCATCAGCTTGGTAGTCTTTAAATTAATAATATTTATTCTACCTGCAAGTTTCAGTTGGTATAATACGTGAAACCCAAGACCATTTGCACACGGGTAAGGACCATGAAATATGATGCAGTGTCTAAGAAGTGATGCTGCAAGGCTTGCATCTTGAAAGCGGCACATTGCCGTGACAGAGACTATATAACATCGCAGCCTGAGTGGCTAGATGCAGATGTGAGATAAGAAGTGCCCTGACGTTGTGTCACTGTCAAAGCGAGCGGCTCCTTTTCTTGCCGCCGATGATGTATAGCGCGGTAGTCAGATATCATGCATTTTCTCAGCGTACTTTTTCACCTTATCTTTATACATGCAACCCGCCGAGTAATAAAGCATTGATTTACGTCATCCTTGACCTCAAAACATCACCACCACCTGACGCTAGTAGCTTGGTTGCTCGAGGAAAGATGCGTGCGAGTGTGTTTAGATTCGAACATCAGTAAATGGAACGGTAAAACACAACTTCCAATGAAAGCGATGTAACGCTTCCATTGATGGAAGAGCTATTTTTGGGTACAAGGCGTGAACAGTATTATCGGTACAGTTGCTCAACAGCCAATCAGCTGATAAAGAATGACACTACAAAAATGTTCGCTTATTTTCTATCAAACATTTAAGTTTGTTGGTGCCAAACACATTAGACGCAACTGCCAATTCACTTTGAGGATGTATATGCGGTCACTGGCCAAGTCAAGGTGAAAAAACACAGAGACTTTTCGGTACCCCTACGGAAACCTTGCTCCTTGTTCACACTTTGTGAACATAGAGCAAGGGTCCCGTAGGGGTCTCGTAATGTCTCTGTGTTTTTTCACCTTGACTTGATCAGTGACGAAATCTACATTCTCATCATGATACCTGACCAGACGAACTTTCGTGGAACCTTTCCTACTGCCGATTCAGTGATTAGAGAATTTTAAGTGTGAAAGTATTTATTGATATTGCTGCCCTGTAGATTTCAGAGCCCTCATGATTCCACCAAAGCAGACATAGAATGAACGTCGTGGTTTTACAGCGCCTTTTTGCGTGCTTTCACAAGATAACCTTCCCTTAAATTTATTTCAGCCACTTTCATCTTTCGGCCGCACCGAGTACTTATTCCATGCAGGTGGCCTACTCGCACCATATGAGTGTGAACACGTCGTCTGTCCACCTTTATTGACGACGGAGACGCATAGGCTACCTTCTTTGGCCAGCCAGGGAATGCCAATACATGCTTGAATCCAGCACCGATGCGGAAACCGTACGAAATGTGCAGAAATCCTACGTGCATGGAAGTGGCACGCAGTCTTCTATGAGCAAGTAAATCTTATGTAAAGAAAATGTGCATAACAATAAGCCTATTGTCAATCTAAACTATTTGATTGAAGCTGAACATATATTTTGTTTTCATTCAATATCTCTTGTTCATCAAAAACAGGCAATAGGTCATGCGAGAATTCTCACTATAAGCAGATTTTTCTATCATGACCAAGCAAACAATGCATCAACCTCGTTATTCGCCAATACTGCAGCCTTTTTCCCGGTTTCTATACAAACTGGCTTATATCAGTGGTTGATGCCGTCAATGTGGGGAGAGCAGCCTTGTTTATGTTTTTTTTCGGAAAGCAATAACCAAATTTTCTATATCGTTACCGCAGCTTCAGATAGTAAAAAAGACGCCCAGAATAATCCCTTTTCGGACGTTGGTTAAGGTTAACCATCAAACTCGGCTGCTTACACGTAGATCGCGGGATCGAATTGCAGCTGCGGCTGCTGCATTTTCTATGGATGCGAAAATACTGAAGCTCCGTGGGCTCAGATTTGGGTGCACGCAAAAGAACTCCAGGTGGTCAAAATTTCCGAAGCCCTCCACTACGATGTCTCTTATAAGCATATGGTGAATTTGGGGCGTTAAACCCCACATATCATCAAGGTTAACAATCCTCGTGCCTCAGATTTTGTTTTCTTTATACAACAAGGCAGGCCCAACCGAAGTGATAATGATTTGAAATATATTCTATTCGTCAGGAGTCCCGCTTACGAAAGCACCTTCTGCCCAGAGAAAATTCATTGAGACCATGAGTGTTGTGCCACAGTTACGCTTCATTCGCCAAGCGCTGGCGTATCGAAACGGCTCGGTCGAGCTTTCGTTACACCGGCTGCAGCGTTGCCCAGATATACACACTTGTCTCGTACCTTCACCGGGAATTCATTAGTGGGCTAGCGCACAAGCACCTCATGCGCCGAATGAACTGATCAAGACTGTGGGCTTATTGGGGTAGATGTAATCTGTTTATACAAGGCCGTCGCCTCCCCGTGAGGCTAGCGTTGCACCGAAGTGGATCGGCAAGAATTCCCTCCCAAATGATCCGTCGGAAGCCGCATGTATTTACACCTGCCGATGTCAGAAGCTGTGCCACACTCTTCCCCTCGTTATTTTCTCTTGACCTTATTGCTGTGTAGCTGCGCTGCCTTGCTCAGTAGGCAGCAAGTAGGTGGTAGTGCATAATCATTCTTTGCTACATATTTTTTTTTCATTTCTCGAGAAAACCGAGGTATTGATTTGCGAATTATTCACCAGCAGACAACGTCTAGTGCAGTATTGATTAGATTATGTTTTTGGAAGTTATAAAAACAGTAGCAAAGACGATTCCGTAGCTGTGAAGGCTGACGCTGCAGTAATGCCGCTTTCATCACGTGTTGGCGTTGCCTTACAGATGTTGGTATACTAGGTGAAAAATCTATATAGATTGCCAAGGAACCTAAAACAAAGAGCATGAAAGAGAGCTTTTTTTCTTTTTTGCAGCAAAGATGTATATGAGTAGCCGGTGCTGATGTCCGTGGGCAAGTTGTGTCTCTTGCTGCTATGCGCCACGTGAATTGGACAAGTCTCACTAGGCGTTTTCAAGTTATTTAAGTTTGAACACACACGCAGCTAATGTTATAGTACCTTGCTATGTGAGTGGTGAGTGGTTTAGAAGAAATAGGGACATTTTCCTTTAAGGTGATGACAATATAAGATATATTTATCAACAGCTTTCCTGAAACAGTTGGTGGAGAAGGGCCAAGGTACCCCCTACGTAATTCAAGCCTGTGAAAAATAAGTACGGAAATGATGTATGAAAGATACTGCTTTGGAATAAGTTTCAATGAAACAGAGCATAAAAGGGAATCTAGGCTAGGCTGATGCTAGTGCTCAATATGAGTTTATAGGATAGTGGGTCGTCAAAAAGAAGTTTAACTCACTTTTAGTCACTCCAGCTGTATGTCTTGTGCTTTGGACTCACTCGCGCGGACACTCACCACACTTTTCCGTAGCCGGACTCACACGACTCGGACTCAGACTCACTCGGACGACTGTGCGAAGTCCAAAAACGCAATAACGAGAAACTTTTGAAAACCCTAAACCTTCACATAAGCTTTAAAAGTAGCACCTCATCATGGTTTGTATTTAGGAAACTCGTAGTACGGCGTGTTTAGTTATACAGTGCACTAGCGCAGCTTCAGGCTCCCACTACACACGTAAAAGTCGCGTGACTTTAGCAGAAACATACCGTATGATACCACTAGTAAACAATCACGATGCTGTAAACTCTGGCTCTTGAGGTAGTCAAGCTGGTAAAGTAGTGAGAACCGCGAAGCGGCCCTGCGTCGGTTACTGGCGCTCCAGCGATACTGCCCAACTGGTAGGATAGCGAGACTTACGCAACGTTTGGGAGAACCTTTTCATTTTATTGAAATTTTGGCTACGGTGTGATGACATAGGAGGCGTTTTCTTACAGGTCAAGTGACAATCTTGCATATGAAGGTGACCGGAAGCTCCTACGCTGCGCTCTTCCAGATACGGAAACACGTTCCAGTGCATCCGGCCTGTGCAGGATAATACTTCTAAGAAATACATGCTCACTGTTCAAAAGCAGTTTGGAACTTCTCTGTTTCCATGTAGTTATGCGCTAACAATAATAAAATTGTTATTGCTGTAAATTATCTCGCCAAGCTCAAGATATGATTATGAGGCAGCTGTTGTAGAAGGATATAGATTAATGGCGACAATTTTTGTTTCTTTATAAGCACTCTATTATAAGCAACCGGGTGTTCTTCGCATTTTGGCCCCCCTCGAGATGAGGCCACCGTGGCCGGGATTCGAACCCGCGTCCTCGATCATAGTAGCGTAACCTAAGCTGCCGAGGTGGAAAAAAATCCCCTTGCCGTATGAGGTAATACAGAACACATACAGAAAAGTATACAAAAGAAGACAGAAAACATGGTAAAAGAAGCGAAGAAAAGAAGACAGAAGGAAAGAAACAGAAAACTGAAGAAAGCGGCCCAGCTCCACACTTACTTCAAGCTTGGCACGCATAGTAGGACGCAGGTTTTTTTTATGTTGTTGTTGTTGCTGCAGAGCAGTTTTAAGCCTTTGCATCACTCTGTGGCGGAGCACATCACAGCACTACCATGCAAAGCCCTTGGGTTCTCTTAACTTTTGACGCTGTTTGTCAAGTGCACGATGAAGAGAAAATTTCAGTACCACATGCCGCATTTTCAAAGGCCAGCGTCTGATTAGTCTATAAAGGGTTTAAGCTTGATAGATGTCATATAGACACAAAAATGCGAAACGAAACTACGGTGCTTTTTTTTTAGCGGCAAAGCGGTACAGTCCCCTTGCCCTTTTCTACCAAAGGCTCTCAGTAAAAGCGACAAGATAGAAAATTGACAAGCCGCTGCTGTTTTAGCCACTGCCTTTGATGTCCGTCTTTTTGGACTGCTTTGGTATTTCACTTGCCTGTTTGGCCCCAGAACTCAACAAGACTCTTCAGCTGTTTCCGCGTGTTTTTGGTACCTCCTTGTTTACACATGACCACTTTTTCTTGTGTTTGTGTGCACCCCTAGTCCTCATTAGTATAAGTTTTCCATCCAAGCCTTCCAGCTTCATCGATGTTTCCACTGCGTAAAAGCTCTCAGACATTCGGGGGAAGGAACCGGACAGGGTAACGGCGTTGGTACTGCCGAAAGAAGCATCTTGAGCAAGGCTGAACACACTGGACGAGCAAAAGAGGGTCCCGACGAGTTCCTGTCACAATCAATGATGGACATAAAAGCTTCGGCAGACAACCACATCTCTGAAACGAAAGCTAAGAAGGGATGCATCGGACAGTCGCCGCTATCTTTTTTGACCACGCAAATCTTTCTTGTGAACAGCATCTGATGTGTGAGCGCTTTGACGTCGTCGTCTCAGCTTCATGGTTCTGGTCCAGTGTTGATCAGGAAGCGGTGTGCATTAGTGTTCTCAAAATTTATCTCTCCATATCTGTGTGCTTCACTTTTAAGAATATTGCTCATTTGCAAATCAAAACTCTTTACGGCCGTATTCAGATTGTTCTTGGAGCGGAAGGCTCGTTAACATTTACTCTAAGGACACCCACGTATTCGAAGTGTTAAGGTACGCTTGTATTCACCGATGTTGTCATTGTAGTAGTTAGCTTCGGTAAGTGTGTGCACGAAATTCGTACGTTGGAAAAGTCAACTTTCGTGGTAAATCTGTTCATGCGAGCTACCACAAACCACGTGCCTGTCTGTTCTGATGCGATACCTTTAAAAAAGCATCTTTTGCAGAAAGCCTGGTGTCGATGTCGTTGGGTGTGAGCATAAAAATCAGCGTTGTCCATGAACAAATACTAGAGAAACATGCAAAAAGTATAAAAAATGGCAAGTTCTAGAAAGAATGAAACCTATACACTTTTACGTTCTCGCGCAAAGGCACGCCTTTTTATTCTTTGTTGCCAGCCCTCGACGTGTGCCACAACACAAAAAAAAACATACACCCACAAAATACACGCTACTGGCCGACCACTACATCATCGATGTTTTTTTTTTTCAGTTGCTTGAGAGTTCTCGCGAGTGCCACCCTGTCCAGCCACTCATGTGAAGGCTCTTGCAATTTCGGCACTTCAAGATACTGAGGTACGCATTCACTAAGGTGCATCAATCGAACATTGGGGTCGCAATCATAACCAGCGATTTTTAGTTGCCGCAAAGAGTGAAGGCCCACTAACATTTCCTGGTCGTACGAAAGCACACTATCGTTCTTCATAGGCAGAAACCTGATGTAATAGGAATATATGGGTGGCTCCTTCTTTTATCGCTTTTTTTAGCACGTCCGAGTAGCAGCCTCCTCCACAGCATTCCTTGGCAAGATTCATTCTTACATCCACGCCTTTGCTTGAAACAGCTTCAGAATGAAACACTGTATGAATCTCATGCAGAGAAAGAATCTTCTGAACGCATGTAATAATGCGTAGCAGAAGCAGAGAATCAGGACAGACGTCAAACATGTGAACTGCTCAAGAGTGAACAGTTCAACGTCCAACCTGTTACAAAGTGGTCAAAAATATTTAATCATCATCAATGCCAAAATATCAACAAAAGGAGCACCTGCGTTGGATAGGGTGTTGCTTCACAAACTTTAGGGGGAAACGAAGAATGACGGTGTAGTGACGACTTCGCAAGTCTGTTAGGCATTCTAAGATAATTTGAAACGGTCAGTGTTACGCGCGCAGATGTTCGTTTCTTTGCGGCACGGCTGAGGCATGCACCGAGAACCGAAGCTAGGCAAGCAATCGAGAAGGCACTCCGCACAGGGCTCGATCATGCTATCACGTTGTACTCTTGAAGGTGCTGCTTAAGCGTTCTTCAAGTTTTTATGTGGCTGTTCCTAAGTTTTATAATAAAAAATGGATTTGATTTTAGCTGCAATCTGTAGAGTTTATCTAAATATGTCCACTGCAACAAGCATACGTCGTCTTGCTTAGTAATTACTTGAGAAAAAAGCACCGTTTCGGTCACATTTATAAATTATGTCATTGGCCTACATTGAGAATAAATGCCAGTAGCTTCTGTTGGTGTCTATGTGTTAGTGTGAGTGTATGTTGGCGTGTTAGTGTGTGTTATATAGAACATGCAAGCACATGGAGTTGAAAGTCTATGTGCTTGCATGTTGCTTTTGAATGTTTTAAGCGAGTGTGCACGAATCGTCTTGGTGTGCGGGGTGAAAAACACAATGACAATGCTTTCGGCTGTATAAAAGAGAGCGTACTGCGCTGAAACGAAATAGCTTTATCTATACACCCTCTCTATGCATTCGTTCGAAGTTGGTTGTAATGGAGATAATCGACCCGTCGTATGATAAATTAGCCAGAAGAAAGAGGGAACGCACAATTGTGAGGTTGAACAGCACAGACACAGCAATAAAAAAAAACTCCCAAGCATTTCCCCGAGGGTGAACATGGTTAAGTGTGAATACACGGGGTGATGCTATGAGGGGTATTTATTAATTCGCACAATTATATTTATTAATCACACTATGGCACCTTTATGGTGTAATGGTTCCTGGGAATCGCAATTTGATCACACGGGGGAGTTTACGTTAACTCACTGGCGAATGCCAATGGATTTTAACTTTACTCCCCCTCACGACCCGCTCTCGACGGGAAACTGAGAGAGAAGGCGGGCGCGCGAGAGAGAGGGGTGCGCGCGCAGCTGCAGTGAGCGAGGAGAGCGGAGGAGCGAGTGAAGGGGGAGGGGGACAATCAGCGTCGCGTCCGTGGCTTATTCGGTAGAGCGTCGCGCTGCGGCCCGCCAAGTCCTCTTTCTTTTAAAGATAGAGAGAAGACTGCGGACGCCGCCGACGGCAGTGGATGGTTTGGGGTCGCTTATAAAGTGTATTCACACTTAAAACGAATGTACCACCAATTGACAATGCCTGTTTTGTCTACCGTCTCACAGATTGGGGTGATGGAGATCTACCTCGTTGGCATTTCGCAGTGGATACCACTATGCATTCAATGAAGGCCCTAGTCGGCAATAGAGAGACGCCCTGAATTTGGGGGTAACAAAGTTCATGCAATCCAAGAAAAGCGCTAAAGCATCGATAGTGTGACAAAGAAATAGCTAAAGAATTATAGACAAAGTTTTACAGTGTTAAGAATATACATGTTGTCACAATTAACGTTACTCGGGGTAAGTAATAGGTCCACTGCATTATCTATGTGACCAAGGTATCAAAGTTAGCGAGACGTGTACAGTTGAGTATTGGGAGGGTGGCTACGGTCGGGCTCAATAAACTTAGACAGCAGGCTAGCTCTAGATAACTGTATCAAAGGATTAATCATGTTTGTGTGAATCATCTTTTCAATGGAATATAGCATTTCACTTGATGTGGTTGTCAGCTCACAGAAAGGTATGAACAGGTGGCGATGGCCACGGAGCCAGTGTATTGCTAATAAGCACGCAAAACATTCAAAATATTTTCGCACCGATTTACATTATATTTCGATGACAAGTACCAACACTAAAAAAATTATAGCGACTGGTCAGTAACCAGTCTCAACACCTGAAGTTTTATCTAAAAAAACATACAACACTCTTGGCCGTTGCTTCAACTGAGCTAAATGTGATTTTTAAACACTTTATTTAGCAAATCTAGGTGGCCGAATAAGTCATGCCATCGGTATGATTCGGTAAAAAAAAGTGCTTTAAGCGTCGATAAACCAGTGACTCAATCTGAGAAGACGTTGAACTGGTAGGAAAATAAAGGTGCCTAGTACGCAGATGGTGAAGAAGGCTTTCGGAAAGCTGCGCGTTCAATCCATGTAAGAAACAATAACTTATGCTTATCGTGCGTTCTATCACGAGTCACCGCCATAGTAAAAGGAGTCTGTACTTGAAAATGGCTTGCGTTGCCCACGAACTGAATGAGAATCTATGTGTTTATTATGAGGACAAAGCAATATCTATCCGCGTCATCCGATCACCACCCGATACACAATCATGAAAAGCAAGCTCAGCCCTAGCGAAATATTTACGCGTAAGTAGAAGCGGAGTGTTCAGAACTCGATAGGCGATTTTCTT